TGTTACCGAAAAAACGAGTGCGTCCATGATCAGCTCAGTAAATAACAATGATAAAATTATCGACACAAGATGGAAGAAAATGCCATAATAAATGGGCATATTTACCCGACGCACAAAGAACTAAACACATCGTGTAAACGCAATAACTTTTAAAATGCGCGAAAAAAAAAAAGGGGGGGGGGGGGGGTTACTCTTTCGATTAAAGAAGGACATCTGACACGCTCCGGTGAATATTTGTGCGTGAATTTACATTACCTCGGGTGTTTTTAGTTTAAAACCGATATCCAAAATTTACTTTTAAGAAATAAAGTAAAGGCATTTGGAACGCTGAATAAATGTATGTAATAGGTTTAAGTGTCCGATGAAACGGGTCGTTACCTGGCAGACTCAAGAACCGCCATCACTGCGAGATCTATAAACATTTCTCAGATTGTGAGAAGCCGCGGGGCGATTGGGGGGAACCATACAAAGGTTAGCCTAGGTACGGGAATCTGGGTCTGAGTGCCTTGAGGAAGTGGCTGCCCTGCGAAAGGCAACTTGTTGGTTATTTGGAACTACACCACCAGTCTCAACGGCTTGCGTTTTAACGCAGCCGTATATACATAATCATGCTCAGGCCTGAGCGGCTTAGTGTCAACCCCCCCTCCCATCTTGTGTTTTCACGCCCATTAATCTCAGCAGCCAAGTTCTGAGTCTGAAATGCTACGAGCCTGTCATTCACCTCCATTTTTTTAAATCTATAGTTGGTGATAAGTTAAGAGTAAAATGGAAGATTTTCCCACCTTTTTCCGCTTTAGCAGAGCGAACATCTGAGAGGAGGCGACCTCCTCTCCAGCGTTCGTTCAGCTAAAGTTGAAAGAGGTGGGGAAGCTTCCACTTTACCCTTAACCTGTCACCGACTATTGCATATGTGTTCATCAGAACACTCCGTGGCACCAAAGGCATTATGGTTCGTCCCACCCCTTTTGTCCGGCGGCGTTGCGACTTTGCCGAGTAAAGTAGCTCTATTATCATTACATTACCCAAAGCATGTTTGCCTCTCTAGAATTTTCAATAATCCAGGTCGTATACATACAATGTGATCGCTACATTGACTACTACTGAGGTAACAACGACCAAAGTGAAATCCTTAATATTAACGTGCCTCAACGTATTCCATTAACATTTCCCGTAAGATGCTGAGAAAGTGGGCCCTGCTGATAAAATTAATAAAATGTCGTATACTAACCCGAGTCAGAGAAGTAAGGTAACGTTTTACGTTGTAATAATGGCTTCATAAGAAAGGGCATGTCAAGACAAGGCACGAAATAATGGGAGCTGGTCGGAAGAAATTGTAAGGAACCTCCGAAAAACCTTACAGTGACACCAACCTTTCGGTAAAAAAAAAAAAAGAGTAGAAATTGTTTTTTTAGGTGGTTTATTCGAAGAAACTAGAGGGCAACGAGAACAATCTGGAAAGCCTCGTCATTCGCCGAGCAACCTCCGCCTACTGCAGCGATTGGCTCTACAGGATAGTAAACGCCCCAGATTTCTTAGAGAACCTGTTATTGACCTAGCAACCATGCTACTTATTCCCTCTAGCACGTGCGAATGCACCCAGCAAGCTGTAGTTCAACTATAAGACGAACTAAGTCGCGAGGCAAGCCAATTAAATATGCAGCCGCTATGAGGTCTCCAAGGCGAACTTGGCCGTCTCCTTGACAGAGTGACTGCTGTTGACCACGGAGGTGAAATCAGCGCGCTGGGGCTAGAACGGTATCCAGCTTCTTAAAAAAGTTGACGAGATACTGCGGAAGCATGAGATCCACTAGAAAACTCGGACCGTTAGCCGACGTGCTTGCTGGACACCGACATGGTTCCCTGCTAGTCCTCGGAGAGGTGGTCCCTTAGGCAAGTGCGAAGTAGTTTTCTTTCGAATGGCTGGTATAGTGAAAGAACAAAGTAAACAAATAAAAGAGGGCCTTATTCTCGCAATCGTGGACGCAAAGGTGGTTATGTTAAACCTCTGTGACTTTAGGGTCGTTAGTTTGTCTCTTCCAGCGATTGCTGACACTACGGCGTTTATGGCGCAGCAAGAAGGAGGAGTGTGTGAGTGGAAAACCACCGTGGAAGGAAAAAGAAATGAAACCTGGACAAACAGGTGCCCCACTCAAAATATGATACGAGCATCATTAAATGCGCAGCATAAATTATGCATATATATATATATATATATATAATTGTTACTCTACTGAAAGTCGAAATGATAGCAGTGTTACCTTTCAGGAGTGAACCAATAACAACGTTCGTGAAACTCGGTCCCTACGTGATGACTGTTGCTCTGCCATAGCAGCTGAGAATCCGTTAAGCAGCTAACGGAGACTACCACGACTCGAAAACTCTGTTCCGTTGAAAGTTCAATGAACTGCCATGAGTAAAAACGGTAGTTTTCTTGAACATGGTTGCTTGTTTCACTCAGAAATCATTTGATGGCATTTCAAAACCTGCATTTGTAATAGAAAAGAAAAAGGCTGGGAAGAAAACTTCAACATTTACTACATAATCGGTTCCTTATATCTCGTATGATGGACCGAACCATAACCACCTCCGTCCATCTCGTATACTTTACCGAATTAGGCTGATCAGTTACGCGCACGACGGGCTTGTCCTGCAGAGTTCATAGTTGCGTCTATCAGCATCAAGGAACATCAAAACGGGGGAAAAAAAAATGAGTTTAAAAACGGTGCCATGCTCCGGCGTAAAAAAAAAAAAAAGTGCTAAAAGGCTATGCAGCATTTTACTCGATACGCCACACACGCAAAGCTAAACACAAGCAGTAAAGAATTTTCGGTGGTATGATAAAACGGAAAAAGTGAGAACAGTAGGCGAGAACGCTTTATTTGACAGGCGTTTCTGGAAGAGATTTACCTTCGTGTTAGAAAGCTACAGATGCAGAGTTTTTATGATGGCAAAACGGTGTGAAAAACACGCACACAAGAAAAAAAAAAACCTTATCGCGTGAGTAACAAAAGCACATAAATAGAAAGTACAAATGTATCATCGCCGTAATCGTGAGGAACAAAAAAGGAAATATTTTATACGGTGGCGGAAATTGTTTTTTTTTTTCTTTTCTCGATCGTCTTTTTTTTCAAACCCGCTTTGACACCAAAAATAATCTGCAACTGTAGTTTTTTTTTTTTTTTTCGTAGATGACGAAGAGAAACCGCTTTTCAAAGCGTCTGTCAATTAGACGTTTTCTGGTGTTCTCACTTTTCTCCCTGTCTGACTTGCTTGGTTAAATATTTAGCGGTACATTTAGTTCATCGTTGATATGGAAGAATGTAGATAAGAGAAGTGAGAATTTCGAGTTCAACTCAGCTTCCCCTGTAGTAAGACAGGACAAGCGACAATCGTTACGGCTGTCGCTTGAAAACGCTGATCACAAAATCAACCTAAAGCCTCAGTCACGCTCAGCTTGCGGGCGTGCGATTTCGGGCTTAGAACAACGGGCGATATTGACAGAATGTATGAGACTTTTAGTTTTTTGGTGTGCGAATATTGCTAGGAATCAATTAGCACAGAGTTGTTTTCATAGCTTCGACACTGCAGGAAAAAATCCAGTACATCGTGGGTTTTCCTAGCACTGCGAAGGTTATACATGATGCAGCAGTATTGGATCCGAACCACTATTCGCACAGCCCTACCCTTCAGATTCTTACTTTGTTTGCGATCTGATAGAACCTCGGGCAGGGTACGTCGACTGTGAGTCATAGCGATTGATTGAAGTAACTCAGCCGATGACGGTGCACAGATGACGTTCGAGGCGAAAGGTATGAGCTGCGAAGAAAGAGGATTCCAAGGGGCATATTCTGTGGTCAAGAGGAATTGATCTGAAAGGTGCGCGATTCTACGCTTGCTGCTTTCAGTTCGTTTGAAAGATTGGAAGGAAAACATTATCTGGTGTTTTGTCATCGGCTAAGCTTCTGAGCTCCTTCAGTAACCACAACGACTGTCAGAGGGCGTGCTCTGCAAGATACACATTAAAAAAAAAAAAAAAAAAAGAAGGAGAAGAGGAAAGAACTTGGTTACAAAAAAACAATTGATGCCACAATCAGAATAAATAAAACAGCGCACTGAAGTACGCAAGGACAATAAGAAAACACAATCAAACACGGCGCTGTATTTTCTTGTGTCTTCTACTTGTCATTATGCCCTTTTCTGCATGGTTTTATTTCTTCTGATCATACACCGACTCACCCCAATATATGCCTCGCTAAAATAAAGACTCATTTGAAACATTTTTAATGGTGAAGGGAACACAAAATCTATCTAAATTTGGCAGCGCATAGAGATTTTTTTTTTATTTCTGTTTCTCCGTGATCCGACTGTACTATGTTCTTGGTACGTCTCTCATTTACAGAACCCACGGTAATTCCAAACGGTGCACGAAGGTAGCAAAAACTTGTAAGGAGAGCTAAAAAAAAAGTGTATTTTGAAGAGCTTTAGATTTTCAGTGGACGTTTCGTTCACAGGCCTAGCGTAGTCTGTTGGCGAAATGTTCGCTGCTAGTCTAAGGCTGCTCGGACTGATGCTTATCGAGATAATTGCCGAGTCAATGGCAATTCAGATAACTGGTACCATTTACTGAAGCCTGGTATCGGGAACACTTGGTCATGCCCAGAGGAAAAATAGTCGAAGTGCAGTTTTTGAGTGACCTGACGCAAAACAGACAACTGTCCCTGAGACAAACATCAGGTTGGGAAGTTTCCCACATACAGAAATATTCAGTCATGTTACCTACCGTACAATTTAAAAGTGTGGAATAGACCCTCGTGGGAAACTACTCCTTGCAGTTTCGAGCGTCTAAAAAAAACTTTGAGCGTTTAAAAAAAGGCTCAAAGTTTTTGCTTTTTTTTTCTTGTGGAACGGTTTTGTGCAGCGTGGTGTGTTGGTAGTGTGTCATCAAGGGCGGGGGCTGGGTTAGCCTAGCTGTCCGCCAATGCACATATACACACACACACAAACTCACGCGGTTTCATTTTAGATGAATGATGGGTATCAGACGTACAGGTAAGCCTAATACAGCAATATCAGATCAGTCAAGTGTACCGTCCCCATGATTTCACATTCCGGAAACTGTAGTTCACCAATTGCACATTACTTTGACGTGGGCATACACACTTGACACAGCATACCGCACTTGTTTTCAATAAACTCTACAATGTAATCGATTTCCACTATCACCAACTTTACGAATGGTGGCAGTTTGCCTGTGTGACAAATGACCAGAGAGCATGGTGTTACATAAGGAGATGTACGATGCATTAGAGGTCGGTTAATTTACTATGAGATTTCTTGTGTTAACTTTTGGTCGAGAACTGCTTACCAGTAGCGCCGAAGGGAAATCTTATGTGACCTGCAACAAGGTACACTGACGTGCGCCGGCGCCTCTACTTCTGCTTAGTATTAGGGTGAACGGGTGCACACAGGAAATTTCGTTTTGGATAAGACTCGCACCTACAACGGCGCAGTGCTGTCAACTGAATGGTCTAGAACAAAGCTGAAGACACGTACACGCACATCGAAAAAACACGGAGCGCATCTCGTATGAACAAGGACGCCGACAACAGCTTCTGTTCTACAGGTATTCTTCTACAGAGCCCCCACGACAATGTGCGAACGTAATTCGCTTTTCACGTAAACATACACTTATATATGTATTTCGCACCGTTTCAGAGACACTTACGTGGATACGCTTGGAGTCTAAGCTACATACATCGACGTGCGAGCCTTCCATTCAGGCAGCTGCAAAAAACCGCCGCACACAGTGTAGCCGAGAGTCCCACGGTACTCTAGGTTTCCAGACATTGTACTAGCTCAGTGCTCAGCGAGAGGAATACGCCTTCGACACCCTTCCGCACCTGTGGAGGTGATCGTTCCCACTTCACCAGCAATAGCTTCGTTGCACGCGCCCTCGCGAAAACACTCAGGCCGGCTTGGACTCCGACCAGGCATCAAGGATATTCGGGCCGACGCTGTGTCTCCCGGAGCAAAGATGGAATCGCTCATTGGTTGTCTGACCAGGCCGCGTCCCTCTGATCTCAGTGTACAACGTGGTGACGTCAGCGTCAGTACGCTCGAGTGGCCCGGATCAACATGAGCGGCACCAGAGTGACCAGCGGCGCCTTCCAGGGCCTGCAGCGCGGGGCGCCGGCATCGGCCATAGACACGAGCTGGGCCCGCGGCAGGCTGTACACCTCGTTGTCAGTAACCAGTTCAGGAAATACTCGACACTGGATGAGCGGCGTCTGGTAGGCCGTGGCGCGTCGCTCGGGCAGCGTCACCCCGCCGTCCGTGTCCACGTCGCCGAGGAAGAGCAGCGCGTTTCCGTACATGTCCACTTCCATCTTGACCACCTCATACTTGGTGCTGGGCACTGACAGGCCTAGCAGGTAGCAGCCGCCGGCGAGGGTCACGTCCTGGGGTCGGTTGAGAAACCAGGGACCCCCGCAGCGTCCGTCTTCGGAGGCCGAGTTGAGGTTGTTCACGATGCCTCTGTCCTGAGGCGTCACCTCGGCCGTGAGCAGCTGAAAGTCGTAGTTGGTGGCGCCGCGCAGGCGGAGCGACGGCCCCGCACGGCTAAAAATACCCTCGACCCGGAGCAGGAACCAGGGTTGCATGCAGTTGGGATCCCGGTAGTACTGGTACCAGCCGCGCCAGCTGCTGTTGCTGACGTGGTACCATAAGGTGCGCGTCAGGAACAGGCCCAGGGGCCGCACCTCGCAGCGCATGCTCAGCCACTGGCCGGACAGGTAGACTGGCAGTTGGGGCTTGGGTGGCAGCTGTGGCGGTGACTGGTCACCCGCCTTCGACACCAGGTGACACACGTGGCATCCTGGAGCCTGCACAGGTCCAAAGCGTGGCCCGTCAGAGTTTCCGGGTGATTTTGTCATCCTGTTTTCACGATAACGCACAGCGAGTTTGCCCCCCCCCCCCCCCCCCCCCCCCCCCCCGCGGGATGAATCAACTAGGCTTTCCGTGAGCGCACCAAATCCGTGTTGTCTGTCGATTCGCAACAATTTCATGCTGCCGCCCGGGACCCGTCCGAGACAGGTCCTAACGGCGGAAAACAAGATCGAATAATGCTAACGAAAATCACAAACGTTCCTAACTGCAGATCGAGGTGGTGGGGATTGTATGCGTTCAACCTTCCTCCGCGAGAAGAGGGAGTGACGGGAACTGGAGCGGCAGTGTTTGCACGGGAACGGAGCTTGAAGCACGCGTCTGCTGACCCGCGGCGAGCATCAGCGGGCCTCGCGTGCCGCTGCCGACAACCCGGGCGCAGAGTCGGAAGGCCCCGGCAAACGGGCGCCAAGCACGCCACGGGCGCAGCACCGCCTGCCGTATTCTCGCCACGCACGAAACGCATTGCTGCGCCACAAAAATCGCGTCACGTGCTCGATTGCAACACGTCTACTGAACGCCGCCGTCGAAAAGACCTTCGCCGCGGTCAGCCCGCGGGCCGGAAAAAGCGTGCCCGAAGCCTATTTGTCAACAGCGGTCCTGAATCGCGAGCCAAGCCACGGGCGCGCCCGCGCGCAACTCGCATTTGAGCCACGGCCGAACTCTCGCGCGTATACCCATAGTCACGGCCACGCGCTCGTTTCGAGCGTCAAGGCTGTACGAGGCGGGCAACGCGCAATCTCTTCCAACGCCGCGCGATGACAGAGTATAACAACATTTGGCGAACGGAAAATCATTTGTAGCGGTCGAGGTATACCGCGAGGAAGTCCATTCAGGCAAAGTTGAACGCTGGCAGGCGAGGTCGATGCGACGTAAATCATTTTGCGAGTGAATTTCGTCGGGCCGAATCCTCTCGGGCTTCAAGCCGCTTTCTATTCGCTAGTGAGCAGTCGCCCACCGTACTTGAAAGCGGCTGACCGCGGGGAAGGTACCACGCGTGCTGGCTGCGCGAAAGGCACGTTGTCCAGAGTTCCGAATACAGCCCTGTCCCGCTCGGTCGCCCCTGCCGCGGTCACACGCACACCCGCACTTCCTGGGGCCGACTGCGGCGCCCGTTTCGCGTTGGAATCGATGAAGCAAACATTCCTTATAGTTAAAAGCTTGCGCCGAGCAGACAGCTGTGGCCGCGACCCTCGGATCGCGGTGGCGGAATGGAGCGAACGCAAGTAAACAAAAGCCGGTCCGAGTAAATGCGGCCCGTGTTTGCACAGTCGCCATGAAGATGATTCCATTTCGTCCTGCTATTCTGCTATTTCGACGGCAAGTATCGTCGAATGCGGTTTCTCCAAAGCAAATCTCAACAGTAGAGGGCTTCAAAAAAAAAAAAAAAAAAATAATACTGCGCAGCTGACATTAAAAAGGAAAAAAAGAACTGCGCGTTGTTTGAAATCAAAAACATGCCGCGGTTGTTTACACAGCTGAACACAGTATTTGTTTACGTTAGTTCTTGAGATTTTGAGAAAAACGCGAGGCGTCTTCAAGTCGGTAGCGGTACCGTTTCAAAGTACAATAAGATGCCGAGTCGACTATCGTAAATCAAAGCGCACGTTTGAAAAGCCGATCGCCAGTTAAAGGAGCCTGGCGGTGTCCTTAGAAGAACGTCAAGTCGACGCCGAGGGGAAGGAAGAAAGGCAGAGCTACACTAAATAGGCCTGCCTACTATTTAGTACGCGCAACGTCAATGTTCAAGGATCGTATTTTCGGCCCGAAAGTGCTACAAAAGGCAGGCGCCTTGAAAAGTTCCCCGTTTAAACATTGCTGAAAACTCGCAGTTGGAATAACTTGGTTTTATCAAGAAAAATAAGCACTCACTTTAGAATGTCTTTTTTTTTTTTTTGTTATTATTATTCTTTTCAAGGATGCTTGAAGTGAATTTTGTCACCTTCGACGGTCTTCAATATGTGATCTACACATTTTCGTTTGTGGCAAAAATGGTGGCGATGATTTAAACACGTAAAACGATTTCTTGAAAACGTTTCGCCTATGTACTAGAATTGTGTCCCAGGTATACGCATGCAGCAGGGATTACATTTCACTGAGGATATGCCCGCTACCCTAAGCTGATGGCACTATGTACGTGGTGCACAGAGCTCAAAAGCATCCATGCGCACATCACGTAAACATCCGAAATGTTTATGGAGTAAATCTAGTCCAGCCTATACTACTGCCCGGTTATAAGCGCGATTATCACGGCCGACAAATCCGTTTCTTTGCATTATGCCATTCTTAATGTTCGCACGAAACGTGTGCAACACCAGGTATGTCATCATATATAGCGCTCGTAACACACATAAGTCTGAACCAAACAGAAAATGTCACGCAAAACTGCACAAACACGAGGTTCAGTATACTTTGTAAACGTGAGCGAGCGCCACCTATACGCCCAGAGAATATACGATGCAAACGCGTCGCCTTGTTCAAAAGCAACCCCCCCCCCCCCCAAAAAAAAAAAAAAAAAAAAAGCCATTTTTCTTTGTATTTCTTTTTTTCTCTTATACGCAAGTACGCCTATATCTATTCGAATGGAATTTCATCGAAACAACGCAAACATAAAATGTCGACGGAGCACTCCTCAAGACCCAATCCAGAGAGCGGGAAGTTTTCGTTCGGGCGCCTCAATAGATCTCGAGTTTTTATCATTATTATTTTTTTATTATCTTTTCGTTTCCTGTCGACGTCGCCCCGATTCGGACGTTAACCATGCCCCGCTGCGTGCCATTCTGTCCACTCTCAGATGGGCTTTGAGTCGAATCTCATCGACTTGGTCGGCCAGGCCGCAAGAGGCCACCAGGCAGTCCAATCAAAGCAGGGAAGGTCGGCCCGTCCGTGACCGCGTGGCTCCGCAACCGCTTCCCGCCGGAGGCTCGGTCCGCGGTGAGAGCCGTGGCGCCGCGCGTCCCGGACGACGGGCCGCGGCCCGCTGGGGCCGGTAAATCAGGCACGCGGCAGCCGAGTTTGTAAAAGCGGGGCGAGAGAGCGAAGCCTCCCCTGTAACGAACGGTGGATCGGAGAGATTGAATTTATGGCGCCTTTGTGGAGATGGCCGCGCCCGCGCATCGATCCCCGGCTATAAACTGAATGGCATCGCTTCGACGGCAAGAAGCCCCTCACCGCTGTCTCATCTTTTCGGCTATGGGCTGACGCCGCGCGCGATACCGGGTCCGCCCGAGGGCCTCAAAAATGAAATCAATTTCCTTTTTTCGGGCCTCGGGCGCCGCCGACGAACAAGGTGTGCGCGTCCTGCCGACGGCGGGATTCGCGTCCCGGGGGATGCCCTGCAAGCCCGGCAACGATCGAGCCGAGATACCGCGTCATCGGCTCTCCGTGACGTCATACTCGTCCGCAAACGCCCCCCCCCCCCCCCCCACCAAAAAAAAAAAAAAAAAAGAAACTGAATAAAACCTATTTTTGTGTTGTTTTTTTGTTGCAAGATTAGCTTGCAGGTACGCGAAAGTTCCGACTCCGCCCACGTGTATAGCGCTAGCGGTTTGGACCACACGCCAAATTTTCATAGCTTGCCGTTCTCTGGTTCAAAATTGATATGCGATTTGGAGAAATTATCGATGGAAAAATGGCGGTCGACGAAGCCCACGAATACGATGAACGGCGTCAGTTACCGGGCACGGGCCCCATTTTTCTCATTGAAACTTTGACGAAAATCGCTTATAACTTTAGACTAAGATAACAGCAAGCTCTGAAACTTTGGAATCTTGTCCGTACCGCTATAGTGATATATGCGTAGACGCTGCTTTGAACATGCGTCCTATTGAGCCCCCATTGCCGACCTTCTCTCGTGTTACCGAGATGCCGAAACACTGAAGCGGTCATTGACGAGCCCCCACAAAAGGCCTATGCTGGGAAAAAGGACGCAGCACATAAAGAGGCTAAAACCTCTCCTACTGTGGCAATGATGAAGTGAAGCGAACGGAATAAGAGGAACCAAAAACAGAAGTTTGGTTATGGCGGTGCCCATGCACCGTTGCCTGGAAGCGTCTATACTGTAAACGACTTATTCTTCGCGGGCTCAGTATTTCGCAATTTAGGTCAAAGCTGAGGTTATGTTATAATTCGCGGGTTCTATACTGTTCGCGACGCCAGTAGGATCGATATATATATATATATATATATATATAGGCAAAAGTAAGCTGCGCGGACACAGCAGCCGTAGGATGATAAAAATGAAAATGTAATTTAATGGCGAAAAACGTCACGCAAGAAGAAGGGGTGAAGTGCCGAAAAAAGGTTGTATTAGTTTAAGGGAATAATGAAGGCTAGGCACAAGAACGCCAGTTATGCGAAAAAAAAAAAAAAAAGCTTGGAAAAGGACGGAATAAAAGTCAAAGTTAAAACATAAGAACTTACAAAAATTGAATTGTTAAATGGAAAATTGAATAAAAAATTAAGAATAAAACATTATTAAAAATAAGAAAGAAAACGTCCTTCGACGTTTCGGCAGTGGCACTGCCTTCTTCAGAAGGCATACCGAGTTACGCAGTGAAGTCGCTATTGTACGGCTTCCCCCTTTGCTATACAAAATGATTTTTTTTTAATGCTTCCGACTCTGCCTTTCAGTCTGGAGAACAATTGATTCCGTGTGTATCTTGGAACGGTGTCTCACAGTCACAAAGAAAATATTAATCGAAATCAGAAGAAATTGAAAAACTCTGTCAATAGTCATGCTATGTGTTTACCATTTTTTAACAAAAACAAAAATAGCTTACGTTACGAATCAGTGTTGTTTAGAGCTGATTAGTTCGTTTTTATACTATATGTGTGATTATACTTTTTTTTTGTGCAAAAACTGGTGTATTTTTTTAAAACTATACTGGCTTTATCGTATCCTTATAGTTGCTGGGACATTATAGTAGAATTTTCTTGA